AATGTGTACAGTGTACAAGATGTACCATGATTCCCCTACAGTAAACAAAGGAATGTGTACAGTGTACAAGATGTAGCATGATTCCCCTACAGTAAACAAAGGAATGTGTACAGTGTACAAGATGTACCATGATTCCCCTACAGCTAACCAAACAAATCAAGACTGGACCACAAGACCGCAAGTAGTGAAATAAAAAAAAGTTTTCCTCAACGTTTTACCTTTTCTCACACCATGATGATCTGATTAAACCACGGCTGGGGCGGAAGATTAAAGACCACGTAACCATGGCAACCATTTGTCCACTAAACTTTATAACCAGACACACGCCTACGGTGCCTCATTAACTGGGATAATCTTTAAGTAATTAATTCCTTTATTTTAAACAATGACATTTTCACTAGCACGTCGCTACCTACAGCTTAAGACGGGGACTAAGTTTAGGGTTGGGTACACTGACTTAACAATGTTGCTACCATTCCATTATAGACGGACAATGCCCTCAACATCAGACAATGACATGCTATTGTCGCTACCATTCCGGACAATCACCCCAACATCACAAGTGTAGCGGCTATGATTAACCTAACCTTTGTTGTTAATCCCAAATCTTTAAAGCACTAACCCGATGATAAAGATGTCTACGTTTATCATAAGCCTCAGAATGTATAGTCTACCCTACCATATTTATGACGTAGCCTTTACTTTAACCGTAAACGCTTGAGGCCTTCCTTTAACCCCTAGGCTCATGGCTGGTAACCAAAAGTGTGTAACTGCTTCAGGTAGAAGGTTATTTGTTAGTGTGCTTGTAACAGCTACCTTAACCTTAAGCGTGTAAAAGTTACCTTAACCTCGTGGCTAGTAACAGCTACCTTAACCTTAATCTTGTAACACTGCAACAGTTACCTTAACCTTAAGCTTGTAACAGCTACCTTAACCCTAACGGTTTAACCTCGTGGCTAGTAACAGCTACCTTAACCTTAAGCTTGTAACAGCTACCTTAACCTTAAGCTTGTAACACTGTAACAGTTAACCATACCCTTGTAACAGCTACCTTAACCCTAATGGTTTAACAGCTAACCTCGTGGCTAGTACGTGACGCTGAACACAAATAGAAAAATGATTAGCAATCAATGGAGTCGCTGTGACGGGAATTACATTGACCTTATCTAAAGCTGTTTACAACCAAGATGACCACTTGGGACATTTAGGGCTGGTTATTTTTAACCATAGATGACATCACAAACTGCTATTTTTAGAACCTAGCCATGAGCGTATTTTGAGACACCACCATCGTAAACGACGACCAACTACTAACTACCATCACATACACAGACATTTACTTTAAAGGGCACAATACACACATAGAAGTTGTCCCTTAACGACATAATACACACATACAAGTTGCCCTTAACGTCACAACGTCACGTTCAAGATGTCCTTAACAATACAATACACACATACAAGTTATCCTTAAAGGGCACAATACACACATACAAGTTGTCCTTTAACAACACAATACACATACAAATTATCCTTAAAGTCATATTACACATCTGTCCTTCAATCCGTTTGGGAATAATGTTGACCTTTTATTTCCACCCACATTACGAATGAGAGGTTAACATTGATCAATCCTAGCTAAATAAATACAATTATCGCTGATGTAGACAATCACCCCCCCCCTCATCTAACTACTGGAACTCTGGCTCTCACACACCCATCCCCAACACTTTCCGGCTATTTGCCAGGTCCCCGGGGGGGGGGGGGTGGGGTCAAACGGGTTCGGCCAGTGACCACTACCACCCACACACACTGGACACAAGAACATTTGGGTGATAGAAGATTCCATTGATCCGGAGTTTGGGAACATACAATTTTCTAGCCCGTGGCATCGAACAGATTGATAAACTAATGCATGAGGGGGGTAGTTAGGGATGATATAGACCAACACCCTCTCAATAGAACTATACCTAGGTTACCTAGGTAGCTGGACACCCATATGACCTTGTAAAATGAAAGGTATAGCATATTGGTGTCTTACTTTATCTTATGATATTACCTGTTTATGGAACTGCTTTATAATTGTTACTTTATACAAGAATAATTTTGATTTATTGCATCAATATATTTATTATATGATAAATATATTGAATGTTTTCCTAACATTATCGTGATTGTATTAGAAACAGAAAAGAAATTAAAAGCACTAGGTAAAAACACTTCACAAATATACTGGTACAATTCTAAGAGAGTAGATTAAAAACACGTCACAAATATACTGGTACAATTCTAAGAGAGTAGATTAAAAACACGTCACAAATATACTGGTACAATTCTAAGAGAGTAGATTAAAAACACGTCACAAATAAAACTGGTACAATTCTAAGAGAGTAGATTAAAAACACGTCACAAATATACTGGTACAATTCTAAGAGAGTAGATTAAAAACACGTCACAAATATACTGGTACAATTCTAAGAGAGTAGATTAAAAACACGTCACAAATATACTGGTACAATTCTAAGAGAGTAGATTAAAAACACGTCACAAATATACTGGTACAATTCTAAGAGAGTAGATTAAAAACACGTCACAAATATACTGGTACAATTCTAAGAGAGTAGATTAAAAACACGTCACAAATATACTGGTACAATTCTAAGAGAGTAGATTAAAAACACGTCACAAATATACTGGTACAATTCTAAGAGAGTAGATTAAAAACACGTCACAAATATACTGGTACAATTCTAAGAGATTAGATTAAAAACACGTCACAAATATACTGGTACAATTCTAAGAGAGTAGATTAAAAACACGTCACAAATATACTGGTACAATTCTAAGAGAGTAGATTAAAAACACGTCACAAATATACTGGTACAATTCTAAGAGAGTAGATTAAAAACACGTCACAAATATACTGGTACAATTCTAAGAGAGTAGATTAAAAACACGTCACAAATATACTGGTACAATTCTAAGAGAGTAGATTAAAAACACGTCACAAATATACTGGTACAATTCTAAGAGAGTAGATTAAAAACACGTCACAAATATACTGGTACAATTCTAAGAGAGTAGATTAAAAACACGTCACAAATATACTGGTAAAATTCTAAGAGAGTAGATTAAAAACACGTCACAAATATACTGGTACAATTCTAAGAGAGTAGATTAAAAACATGTCACAAATATACTGGTACAATTCTAAGAGAGTAGATTAAAAACGCGTCAGAAATATGCTGGAACAATAATTCTAAAAGAGTAGATTAAAAACATGTCACAAAGATAAAGGAACAATTCTAAGAAAGTAGATTTAAAACATGTCATTAAGATACTGGAACAAATCTAAGAGATTAGATTTAAAACATGTTGCTAAGATACTGGAAAAATTCTTAGAGTGTAGATTAAAAACAGGTTACTAAGATACTGGAAAAAATTCTTAGAGAGTAGATTAAAAACTTGCCATTTAGATACTGGAACAATTTTAAGAGAGTAGATTTAAAACAAGTCACTTAGAAAGTGAATTATTTCTTACGGTCTAAGAAGAATCAGAGGTCATTGACCACAGAAGACAAAACCTGGAGGTTGAATTACATTTAAGGGTCGATACTACTAGTTTTGTGGTCCATACTGAAGTCGTGCTAGTGAAGATTTTATGACCACTGGGGGCAGGGGGGGGGGGTTGTTTATGTATAGTCAGCCTGAGGGTCTTCTAAAAAGGGAACGTTGACGTCATTCTTACAATAGCATCATGCCGCATTGATTCATTATTGGTGGGGTTATTTTTATGTTAACATTACTGTCAACAATAACTGGTGTAATGGTCATTATTGGTGGAGTTATTCTAATGTTTACATTACTGTCAACAATAATTTGTGTGATGGTCATTATTGGTGGAAATATTTTAATGATGGCAACTCTGAGATGTTGACATCAATTGTGTCCTCGTATTACAGATGTTCACATCACTTATGTGATGTTCATATAACTCATGCGATATCAACATTACGTATGTGATATTCCCATCACATATGTGACGTTCTACTCACAACAGTCTCACCTTTGTTGATGCTCTACTCACAACAATCTCACCTTTGTTGATGCACTACTCACAACAGTCTCACATTTGTTGATGCACTACTCACAACAATCTCACCTTTGTTGATGCACTACTCACAACAGTCTCACCTTTGTTGATGCTCTACTCACAACAGTCTCACCTTTGTTGATGCTCTACTCACAACAGTCTCACATTTGTTGATGCACTACTCACAACAGTCTCACCTTTGTTGATGCTCTACTCACAACAGTCTCACCTTTGTTGATGCTCTACTCACAACAGTCTCACATTTGTTGATGCTCTACTCACAACAGTCTCACATTTGTTGATGCACTACTCACAACAGTCTCACCTTTGTTGATGCTCTACTCACAACAGTCTCACCTTTGTTGATGCACTACTCACAACAGTCTCACATTTGTTGATGCACTACTCACAACAGTCTCACATTTGTTGATGCACTACTCACAACAGTCTCACATTTGTTGATGCACTACTCACAACAGTCTCACCTTTGTTGATGCTCTACTCACAACAGTCTCACATTTGTTGATGCACTACTCACAACAGTCTCACCTTTGTTGATGCACTACTCACAACAGTCTCACATTTGTTGATGCACTACTCACAACAGTCTCACCTTTGTTGATGCACTACTTACAACAGTCTCACCTTTGTTGATGCACTACTCACAACAATCTCACCTTTGTTGATGCACTTCTTACAACAGTCTCACCTTTGTTGATGCACTACTCACAACAATCTCACCTTTGTTGATGCACTTCTTACAACAGTCTCACCTTTGTTGATGCACTACTCACAACAATCTCACCTTTGTTGATGCACTACTTACAACAGTCTCACCTTTGTTGATGCACTAATTACAACACCCTCACCTTTGTTGATGCACTACTCACAACACCAAGAGACTCACCTTTGTTGATCCACCCCCTCCTCCCTTCCCTTTCTTAAACAGGTTGGGCGGGCCAACGGTGAAGTTGGCCGACCGTCTGATGGAGCCTCCCTGTTCGTTCAGAGCAGACGTGGGCAGGCCGGACGACCATGACCTTCCCCCAAACACCTGGAAGAGAAGAAAAGGCAAACGTTTCAACCTGGTGGCATACAAGACTGTCTTAAGAAAAGGCAAATGTTTCAACCTGGTGGCATATAAGACAGTCTTCTGAAAGTCAGTTGCCCTCAATCCAAGCAGTCGTACACAATACGTTAAGCCTCCTAAATCAACTCGGGTAAAATCACAGAACTAACGAAAATGTCACTATGAGTAAATTGATACATTAAGGAGATTATATTTTAACTTACATGGTATATAGATATGCATTTGGATGCTTAGGCATAAGTGAATATGCATGCGCATATATTTCAGGGTTTCTTTCAAGTATTTTTTTAGCGGGGGTGGAAGGGGGGGGGGGGGTCACTTGAAACTTCAATTTTTTTTCTCTAGTTCGTACGGGTGGGGGGCACTTCCCACCTCGAAAAGATGCATCAAAGAAACTCCTATGTGTTTGCGGATGTGAATGGTAATATTTTATATTAATACATATTTTTTATCAGGAGTTACCAGGGAGACATGTAAAAGATAAACGTATCAGGAGCATTGGGGGTCTTGTTTAGCAATGTCGGGTGGAGCTTACTGTCTTAACATCCTCCCCGGTAGTGTAGGCGCTTCAAGGATTTAATGTTCTGTATTCGAAACCTGCACTCATACACACGCTTTGGACCCCCTGTGTTAAATAATGATGCCAGACTACATATCAGAGAAAGCAAAAAAAAAAAGTAGGTTCTTTGCTTAATATTGACAGATTAAATAAGGCATCATCAAAGGAATGATCATTAGATTACAATTATTTCATTGTTGGCTTAGCTAAATAGAATTAAAATCACATGACCTAATTAAAGCTCCAGCGACGAGTGCCGGTCCGTGTAACGATTCATGGCAGACGTGTGCCGCTGTTGGAGACAGACTTGAGTTTTATTGGCGGGGTCCGCCCCGGTTCCATTATCTAAATCTTTATTGATTTCATAACTTGACCGATTTATTTCCAGAGCGCTGGCACCCCGCCAAAATTCTGGGATAAGGGGATGGGAGGGTGAGGTGGGGTAAGATGGACTTCATACAACGACATGCTGTGTGGGAGGGTGAGGTGGGGTAAGATGGACTTCATGTGGGAGGGTGAGGTGGGGTAAGATGGACGTCATGTAGGAGGGTGAGGTGGGGTAAGATGGACTTCATGTGGGAGGGTGAGGTGGGGTAAGATGGACTTCATGTGGGAGGGTGAGGTGGGGTAAGATGAACTTCATACGACATGTGGGAGGGGGGGGGGTGGGGTAAGATGGACTTCATACAACATGTGGGAGGGTGAGGTGGGGTAAGATGGACTTCATGTGGGAGGGTGAGGTGGGGTAAGATGGACTTCATGTGGGAGGGTGAGGTGGGGTAAGATGGACTTCATACGACATGTGGGAGGGGGAGGTGGGGTAAGATGGACTTCATGTGGGAGGGTGAGGTGGGGTAAGATGGACTTCATGTGGGAGGGTGAGGTGGGGTAATATGAACTTCATACGACATGTGGGAGGGGGAGGTGGGGTAAGATGGACTTCATACGACATGTGGGAGGGTGAGGTGGGGTAAGATGGACTTCATGTGGGAGGGTGAGGTGGGGTAAGATGGACTTCATGTGGGAGGGTGAGGTGGGGTAAGATGGACTTCATGTGGGAGGGTGAGGTGGGGTAAGATGGACTTTATGTGGGAGGGTGAGGTGGGGTAAGATGGACTTCATACAACATGTGGGAAGGGATGGGGAAGGTGGGGTAAGATGGGGTTCCATACGACAACGGTTTGAACTACTCTAAGTGTTCATGAATTGATCGTGGCGATATTGTCGTCTAGATTTCCATTACTGTTGAAATATATAAACCTACTATTTAAACTAGTCTAAGAATTAATGTATTTACAGCAGAATTCAATGTTAACGCTGAAATATAGACCAAAAAGTCTACTATTTAAACTAGTTCAGGTGTTCATGAATTGATCGTGGCGATATTGTAGTCTAGATTTCCATTAGTGTTGAAATATATAAAGCCTACTATTTAAACTAGTCTAGGAGTTCATGAACTGACTGGGCAGCAAAATTCCAGCAAATCAGGAGGACGGTCAGTGATTTGATTGTGTATAGGGCGATAACCTAAGGGAAGTAATCAGTCGAGCAGCCAATGACCTCCCCTGGCAGTAGTCTTCTGTCCACTAAAGAGATTGGGATACTTTAGCTTCCATTTGTCCACCACCAACCTCATTTACTGCTGATAGATATTCCAGACACGTATCTACCTCTGTTTAAATTGTTTTGTTTGGATTGGAAACAAAAGTTAAAAAAATAAAATAAAAATACGATCGCTATTTTAGGTATTGTAGTAATTTTGTTTTTAATCAAGTTGCATAAGAACTTTTAATAAAAGCGCCGTTTTTTGGAAAATGAGAAATATTACCCCATTTCGGGCAATAGAATAGTTGAAGTAGAGTTTTTTTAACGTTATTGTCAATACTGTGTACAGCTGTTATGTACCTGAGCTAGTGGTCAGTCCTTCGCTAGAGTTACCTGGGGTAACGGAGTGTTTAGTTCTCTCTGTTTTCTCATACAGAAATCACACATAGGCAGACAACAAAACAATAGACCCTTTAGTTAGAATTCAGTGTGAAATATTGGCAATCATCCCCACCCACCCCAGATATAACATTGTCTACCCGTCACTGCCGTTGTACCATCCACAAAAAAACACATGCCAGAAATTTGGTTTAGGTTAATGATGGACCTTGTCTAGACCCCCCCCCCCCCCCCCCCCCTCGGTCATCACCTACTAACGCCGTTATACCATCATTAACAAGAATATTGATGTAAGAAATTTGATCTAGGCTAATGAGGACCCCCTAGTCACCACTAAATGCCGTTGTACCATCATCATGGGTTGCTGAACTACATTTTAAACTGACGTAAAAAGCCTTTAAGAGTTAAAATATGTTGGGATTATATTTTTAACGCGGACATCCATAGTCGTTTTCAAGACAAATTCGATGCATGTCCTAATATCGATTCGTTCTAGTTGTTTAAAAAAACAAATTTAGTGCATGTTCTAATATTGATTCGTTGTAGTCGTTTTTAAAAACAAATTCAGTGCATGTTCTAATATTGATTCGTTGTAGTCGTTTTTAAAAACAAATTCAGTGCATGTTCTAATATTGATTCGTTGTAGTCGTTTTTAAAAAAATATTCAATACATGTTCTAATATTGATTAGTTGTAGTCATTTAAAAAAAAATTCAGTGAATGTTCTAAAATAGATTTGTTTTAGTAGTTTTAAAAAACAAATCTAGTCCATGTTCTAAAATTGATTACTTTTCAACAATTTTCCGAAACAAAAAAAAATAAGCAGACACTTGTATGGATACATTTGTCATTCTGATGTTCTTTGTTTCCTTCTTTAGATGCAGGTTGGTGCTCTGATCGTTCTAGGACTGAATGTTTTATGCTATGCAACAGGGGTCGGCGTGGTCGAGTCGGTAAAACTCATGGTTGCTTAACCGAAAAGTCTCGAGTTCGAACCCTCGGGCAGATGAGGCTCCTGCCTTGTAGTTTGTTCTTGATTGGACAAAAAAGAAAAGCAGGCTGAAATCGGAGTCAATGGCCTCAATGGCGCATAACCAGTTGACACGTATCCTTAATTGTGTTGGGGGATCCCTTCCAACACGAAAATTAAGAACGAAGAAGAAGAAAGAAGAAGCTATGCAACTATAAAGAAGTCCCAAAATACATAAACTATCTTAAACCGAAACATTGTTGAAAAAAAACAACTAACGAATTAAATTTTTTTTAAACAAGTACTTTAGGAGGGGGGGGGGGGGTGTGACAAGAACTCGATTTACTGATTTTTGTGGCTTGAGATGGGTTACAGACATTGTCCAGTATTCCTTCAATCCATGGTGTTTTGTTTTTTTTTGGGGGGGGGGGGGGGGGGGGGTCGGGCATGATTTACATACATAGTCCGGTACTTTAATCCTTGGTGTTGTGGGTGGGGAGGGGAGTGGCTAGGGCATGGTTTACAGACATTGTCCAGTATTGCATGAATCCAGCCACTGCTCTATGCTCAATGCTCTAGACAGAACCTTTTGTTTAGCGAGTCCCAAGCACGGACGTCAGAGAAGCTAGCTGGCCACAAGTCGCCACAGACATCTGGCCTGCCTGAGGCTCCAGCACTTGTGGGCCTTGATGCCACACATCATCGCTGTAGTGCTTGACACAGTTCTGGTCAATACCTGGGTCAAAGGTCAAGTTAAACGAGAGGTTTCTTGTTTTTAAATCACTTTAGTCTGACGTGTGTAAACTTAAGACAAGGCTCGATGACGTACGGGTGGACAGTGACAGACGTGTTTGTTGGTCCGACTTATGACAGAAGTGTTTGTTGGTCCGACTGTATGACAGACGTGTTTGTTGGTCCGACTATATGACAGACGTGTTTGTTGGTCCGACTGTATGACAGACGTGTTTGTTGGTCCGACTGTATGACAGACGTGTTTGTTGGTTCGACTGTATGACAGACGTGTTTGTTGGTCCGACTGTATGACAGACGTGTTTGTTGGTCCGACTGTATGACAGACGTGTTTGTTGGTCCGACTGTATGACAGACGTGTTTGTTGGTCCGACTTATGACAGACGTGTTTGTTGGTCCGACTGTATGACAGACGTGTTTGTAGGTCCGACTGTATGACAGACGTGTTTGTTGGTCCCATATCAACACACTGTATGACTGATGTGTTTGTATATCCCAGATCAACACACTGTATGACAGACGTGTTTGTTGGTCAGACTTTATGACAGACGTGTTTGTAGGTCCCACATCGACAGACTATGACAGACGTGTTTGTTGGTCCGACTTAAGACAGACGTGTTTGTTGGTCCGACTTATGACAGACGTGTTTGTTGGTCCGACTGTATGACAGACGTGTTTGTTGGTCCGCCTGTATGACAGACGTGTTTGTTGGTTCGACTGTATGACAGACGTGTTTGTTGGT